GTGTCAATGAGTTTGCCGGCGCTTCAGCCCACTTGTAGCAGGCCCAGCTGTTGGCGAAGCGCCAGCGCATCGCGTAGGTGCCACGACGCAATTGGCAGCGCGCGGCGCACGTGAGCCGGGCCTGAGCCTGTGCCTGCGCCTGCGCCTGCGCTTGCGCCCGGGGCGCACCGCGGTCGATATCGGCGCACTTGAGCCTCTTCGACTGCCCGCCGGAGTTCCCACATGGCTTAACGCATTACGCCCACTGGCCGCGTATTTCACGGCACCGGATTGCATTTATTGCTTCTCCTTAGCGTTTCAGCGCTTCCCCTGGGGAAGATCCAACGAAGATGTCTCGGGCTATACTGCTTTGATTTTGAATTTTGTTGATTTTACAATCTTTCATCTACTCTATCGATGTACATTTTATATGCTCTCCTTTGTTCATTGAAAACTTTGGTTGGGTCTTGCTCTTGCTGCATTGTTCGTAATTGGGTTAAGTAGTTATTTGTGGAGACGACTATTTGAAACATTACATCTTTGGAAGTCAGCTCATAATTCATATTTTGTATGTAATTTCAATAATTACTTTTTTTCTTGAAATTTCGATCATGTACTTAATCGCATTCCGAAAAGCTAACATTGTGCCTTTCCTGTCAAAGTCAGGCATTGATTGTAAAAATATTAGAAATATCGTTATATTTTTCAAATTTTATACTACTTACGGTGGTTATCTCTATGCTTTATTCCCTTTATATCAGCCTGATGCCGTATGGTCTCAAAGGGCACTCGGGACTTCGGCAATACATCTATACGAAATCATTTTTAATTCTAGGAGGATAATGATTACCGCTCTTAAATTCGTACGAGTGTTTGTGGAAAGTCGTCACTACCAAGGTATTCAAATTTACATAAGTTTATTCAAGGTTTTAACATTTTTATTTAAGTATTCATGTGTAGGTTGTGACTGCTTGAACTAGAAAATTTACACTGCTTCGTCGACATAAGATTTCTGTTGCATGTAGACAACGCCCTAGGAAGATCTAAGCGAAATAGATAACGATGATAGTAGTCGTAGATGTTCTCGAAAGTTAAAGAGGTCATTGGAAATAATTGTTGCCGGCCCTCCCTTCTTGTGATGTAAGAGTGCTAACCGTGCGCGTGTTGAGACACCCGTAATCTTGGTCACCGAGCAAACAACGGACGACGCGCAACGTGGGCGTTTCCCGAGGAGGGGACCGAAACACGCCCAGGGACGCCCGATTCAATGTCGGTTTCCAATTGCCTATGGATTGCCTGTATTTTACAAGGGTAAATAGTGTGCTCTTGTGCAGGTTTGCCAACTCCTGTATGGCAAACTAATATTACTGCACTTAAAATTGTTAGGTTGGCCTTTTTTTAGTGTACCTCGAACGTTTTTATTGTTTTTTTTTATCCAGACAGAAAGTACTCGTAAATAAGCATATTGTTCGACAAGAAAAATACTTTCAACGCTGACAGGTCATTCGGGCTAGATTCGAACTAACAATTCGTATTAATTCTGCTATGCAAATGGGACTGCTATGCAAATGGGAATTTATAACTGTCGTAAATATATAAATAATTTACCTTATGAAGCTTCTTCATTCAAGAATTTAGTATATTCGTCGATTTAAAAAAAATATTTTTTTAAAATTTTTTTTTACGTTTTGCCTCGTGTTATTCTGTCACTGTGAAGGCTCTTCGCGATTTGGTATTCGATCTGCAATTCACCCGAATCTGTGGCATAACGAAGTGGTTTGGTTTGCAACTCACGAAATGATTTATCTGGCGTGCAGGCAGGGTGCGTCTTGAAGAACTGGGCCGCCGGACTCCTTAACACCGACGACGTGTGCACCGCATGCGCTCACCACGCCCCAGCCCTTGCGGCAGCGCCGCCACCGCCACCACCGCCACTACCACCCACGCCCACACGTCACCGCCATTCCCCGGCCTTTGTTCGCCCACCACCCTCGCCGCGTTCTCTGTCACCATGGTGCCAGCGCTCGCCTGTCCAGGCGGACAAGCCCCTAGCGCGGCCGGGGCGGTCGCGGCGGCACGGTCGCGGCGGCACGCCCCACTGTGGGCGTCGGTGCCCCTCGACGTGCCCCCCGACGTGCCCCCTGCGTGGGCGTAGAGCGGGCGTCAGTTCACGCTTGCTTCCCAGCTCTCAGGCGAGCATGGCTTTTGCACTGGCGCACATCCCACGGAACTGTTACGTTTTCGGTGTGCAAAATAGCAGACAGCCCGGGCTAATAAAGGAAGAGCCGGTTGACACGATAATTGCACGACAGTCATTTTTTTTATCATGCAGTTGTAACTGCAAATCTTCTATTCAGGTATCATTTCATTATAGCACTGTTAGGATTAATGGTAATGAGTTGCACGGTAAAAATCTAAATAAATTGTAAATTACTTGGAGTTACAGTTTTGAAAAATATTCTAGACTTCTCTTCTTTTCGTGTTAATGTTTTCTGATGCCTAGTAAAATGGTCAGTTATCGCGCATGGGGTGTGTGTGTCTTTGGTTTAATATAGGCTTCAGGCACGCGGGGTCATTCCTTAAAGTGAATAAAAAACTTAACAATAAAGTTTGTAAAGTGGGACGACAATAGCTACCAATGCATTCATCTACTATCGAGACATTTGCTTCATTGAGCGCTAAACGCTGGATGAAATAAAAATCGAAGAGGTGGGTATGGAATATATGTACCATCGTATCCTGCGTTGCCGTAAGCGGCTTATTGTTCCCCTCTGTCGATTCTGTTATCTCAAGTACTACAAGAACCGTTCCTTTGCCACCTTAATTTATTTTTAGAATTACGCAATATAATCGTGTTTAATATAATCTGGTAAGGTTTTGCAACTAGGGTAAGCGGATTATATGCGATTTACTATGGTGCACAGTTGATATTTTAATCTCTTTTGTGTTTAATCTGAGTTACATGTTGCAAATGTGAATGTTTAAATATGATGTATGGAGACACGTGTTCACTTCTCAGATACTGCAAAAGTACTTTATTTGGACATAAAAAGGCAAGTCATCGACAGTATTTCAGTGACGATGATGAGGATTTACACACGAATCACGTCACTTGCATTGTCTCATATTGTTTCATTTTGTGACCATCGCCCCACAATACCGCGCGGTTTCCTTGCTGAGATCGTACAATAAGGGATGTCTGCTATGTATTTGCGAAATATTTCAACGTTTTCGTAAACTACCACTTTTGTAATGTCAACTTACCGCATCCAAAGAGGGAAACGAACAGCCACTCGTGACGGCTGCCGTCCGGTACTGATTTAACAATCAAGAGTCCGTTAAGTACCACTGAATTGGAGCTTAATATGGCATTTAAGTTCTCTGATTTACAATCAATGATACTTATTATGTATATGTTGTTTTGTAAATAGTATGATGAAAATTGAGCGCGCCACACGGCCGACAACACAAATAACAGACTCGGTCGATTATGAAGCGCGGCTTTCGCAAACTCGAACCGCGCCTGTTATTTGCTGTTTGTCGGCCGGTCGGCGCGGCGCGTGGCGGCGCTGCGCGCGGGAGAGCCTGGGGCGCCCTCTAACGGGCGCGCGCCTCTTCTTTCTGCCCCCGCAGCTGTCCGCGCCGACCGCATGCGCGGCGGCCGCAACAAGTTCGGCCCCATGTACAAGCGCGACCGCGCGCGGAAGCTGCAGCTGATGCGCCAGCGGCAGATCGCCCTCCAGAGCCTGCGGACGACGCACCCGGGCGCCCTGGGCGAGGGCATGGCGCTGGCGTACGGCGGGCCCGGCGGCGCGGCGGCGGCTGCGGCCGCGGCGGCCGTGGGCGGCGCCTCCTTCGCCAGCCTCCAGATCAAGCAGGAGATCCAGATCCCGCAGGTGGGTGCGCTCGCTGGGCGCGTTTGCGCGAGGGACACCTCGGATGAAGAGAAGACGATTAGAGCGTTTGGAAGTAGACGGGGCGTGTGAGGTGGTGGGATTTTATTTTTAAGGCGATTAATTAGTTACTTCACTTAATTTATTACTTGAAAGATATGGTTCTCCTCAAAGACTCACGTATCTCGGGATGAATTACAGGTTTATTTTTGAAACCCTATAGTGAGATGAACCCTCCCAGGTTTGTTCATTTTCTCTAATTCTGGGATCCACGTTTCATCTATTTACTTCGGTACATTAATAGTTACACTTAGAAGGTTCAGAAAAAGTCTCTAAAACATTAAAAAAACATGTTGTTTGCAATTTTTCATTATAACGTTTTGTATAGATTAAGTCTACACCTCTCTTCATTGAAGGTCAGATTCGCGGATATTGCAGTAATATGTAGTTAGAAACATTTCTTCCTCTTCTTTACAAGCACTTCGAAACACTGCTTGGCTTCACCATTTCCATTAAAGTGTGTTAATTGAGTCTGTACTTATTTCAATTTGTTGGATCAAACCAGTTTTCCCCAACTGTTGATATCGTAGGTTACATAGTGCCGTTTAAAATATCTCGCTTACGTTTATTTACTTGGATAAATTGGTCGAGTTAGTGACCCCAGAGCGAGTGGCTTGCGCCAACAGATCGGAAGTCGCAGCGTAGCCGAGAGCCGTATCTAAACACAATAAAAGCGCGGGGTGCTCATTGATAAACTTATGAGAGGGGACGGGACGAGGGGGGCGCCACGGGTCGCGTCAGGGCCTGCAGTCCGTCGCCCTTCTGCTCTCCGCCACCCACATCCCATATCCCCACCCGTCCCCTTCCTCGTCCCCCCACCCGCCACGCCCTGTCAGCCACCAACCCGAGCGCGCCTCCTCTGCCGGCTCGTCTTTTGGGAGCGGTCTTCTTCAGCCGGTGGCCGCGGACATCGGAATCAAAATACTCCCGTGATACTCCCTTGATGGGCACAGAAAGTTCTATTCGTAAGGAACCAATGGCAAATTTTAAATTTTGGAAGATTTATTGTGGTAGACTATAGTCAAAGAAAAATATTAAGAAGGGATTGAAGAAGCAATAAAACTTTTCTATATTTGACGCCAAAATTGTCAAAACTGCCTGTAGTGGCAGAAGTTTTCGCTGGTTTTGGTACTATTTTTTCTAATGAAAAATAATTATTTAACTATATTGTCATTGATAACAAAAATAATATAAATTACGAAATTCTGAATTTTTAAATTCACTAGTCTCACTTAGTCATTCGTGAATGAAATCCCACTTCAGAAATTCCGTTCCCGTTATTTCATCTGGAACTAACAGATAGTACATAATTCAATTAGTTCCATTGCCAAGCTCCACTCCATGTATCCCAGGAGTGTATTTTGATGTGGAAATATTCTCATGGGTGATGGCGTCCTGTACTTTCTGCACTTATCTGTAACCTCGGACGTTGAGCCGCTTGCGCTGCGCGATAGCTGGGGCGGTGGCTGCGCGGCCGTGTGGGGGGATGGGGCTTCGCCGATGCCGTTGGTGCTTGCGGGCGGCGGACCACTCACCGGAAAAGGAAGTTCCAAAAACGATGGATTAGAAAATGGGGGGGGGGGGGAACCAAGCTGCTAATGCCTACCCGAACTCATTTTGTGTTGGGTAGCCGAAATGGTATAGTATTGACAAGTACCCCCCCCAAAAAAAAAACTATTGACCGAAACTCAAAACCCTTATAACAACATTATTCATATTTAATTGATTTTGTTTGAATTTAGATACTAGTTCGGGTTAAGTAAAAAAGAAGAAATGTTGCATTTGCGTAGTGATTTGAAAGTTGTGATTATTTGGAATTTTACCCTAATAAAGTATTATAACTCAGAATATTTTTCCTTACGTCCTGTTCGGACACGTGAAGCAAGTGATATGGCAGCAGCAATACGTCGTGGCATTAAACATCTCCGGTCAGTTTTGTTTACTTTTGCTTTTCAACTTGGAGTACGAATGAAGTTGTTCCATTTACGGTCACCTTACATGATTTTATGGAACGCTTGAGAATATTTGTGCACTCTTATGTACTACAGCTTTCTCAAGTTGTTAGCCAATTCTTTCTCTTCACGGCTTGCCTAAAGACAACACTTGTGTCATCATTAGTGCGCCATGACGTCGTGAAGACAAGTATGTCGAAAAGCTACTTCTCCTTTTTCCTTGAACATCCAATGCAGAGCAAAGACCTAGATATTTTGTTTTAGTGTACGTAATTCTTCAGATGTAATTATAGTGCAAGGAAAATATAAATGAAAGAAAGGAAAAGTTTTGAATGTAAATCGTTTACAGTTTTTGTAAATTTCTCAAACAAACAGAAAATCCCCAATTTTTCGGGTTCGTTTTGGGCAATTATCAGTCAGCAGATTGACCAACATTGTATGTAATGTGCTACATGGACGAGTCAATCTACAGTGTTTTGTTGTATTGCAGTTTCGTGTACATTTTGCGAGCTTTTAATGAGATATCGAAATTGATTTGAATGATACTGTTGTGACATATCTTCACACGAGGAACAAAACTGTTTATTCTGTTAAAAAATTTACTGACATGTTAAATAATAAAACTTCTATTTTTCACATATTCTAGTATTGAAGGATAATTGAATGCCGCCATATCTTGATTCTTCTTTCCATGTAAAAAGTTAATTTCAATTTTAAACTTAAAATTGAATATTTACAAAATTTTAATAAATGTTTTATAAAAATATTAATATAAAAATAACGCAATAATTAAAATTTTTTCTTTGCTAAATTTAAATTAACATTTGTTGGTGACGAAGGGAAGATAGCTCTGTTGATATAATAATAATAATAATAATAATAATAATAATAATAATAATAATAATAATAATAATAATAAATGTCGACTAGTCAATCTGTCGCACTCCATTGAAAACGAGGAACGAATGTTGAGGGTTATAATTAGTAAGGTGAAGAGGATCCGGAGAAATTTGAGTAAATGTGTCCGTGGAAACAGGGAGTCTGATCACTAGTCGTAATTATTTGACGAAGTGTGAATAAATTGCATATCAAATTTCTTCCCAAGGTTCGTTGACCAAATCTTTCCGGGCATTGCTGGGTTTTGACTTAACTGCCTTCACTTCACCTTCAAAGACGCGTTAAGTCGTCGACGTATGAAAATGTATGGCATCAAAATCACGAGATCAAGAGGAATTTCCTCTAACAGTCAGTGACATTCTCATGAATTCGAATGTCCAAAACAATGCATACATGACCAGGAAATCAGAGAATCGTGTTTGCCGTGAATGTAGATTTAACGTGCATTACTTATCATAAAATAGATTCCAAAACTGTCTTTTAAATCGCATGAGCAATTATAAGCAAAGAGGTTTAGGGAATTAAGGCTTTCCTCGAGTAATTCAGATAAGCTGGTAATTGTATGATTATAAAATACGAGCTTTAATTAATGCATTTCATGTAATAGACCACCAGACTCTCCCCCTTTATCTCCATTGTATACTTAGATCATTCGAAGCACAAGTTGTGCAATGATTAGTGTATTGATAGCTTTCGGTAATAAGGCAGAATGGAATGAACATTTCGTCTGTATTGGGCCATTTAGGTCAGTCGTGTTAAACTATTTTTCAAAGACGACTATTTCACTACCTCTTATGAAAAGCTATGGCAATAAATAACTTGTTTTCAAATCGTTTTAGAAAATTCTCAGAGACCTGATATTACTAGTAATATTAGAAGTCCACTCACTGAAATTTAAAACTAATATTCAACCTGGCTGTTTATTAATCTACTAGATCATTCATTGTACGTTGATATTAATTACACTACTCATTTTCAGTCAACTTCATTCAAATCCCATTTCTTGTTTATAACTTTCTGGGATATTTCATGGGGGAGGGGGGAATTCGCTTCGGAGGGCAATATCCATAATCGGCACACCATTTGCATTTCTCTGAAATTTGGCATCTTTGGGTTATCGTTTGAAATTTTAGACTTGTTCTTGTGGTGAATTGTTTTCGAGGTCTCTCATGTCAAAACCAGTTATTATGAAAGAATTTTTAAAAAAGTGTTTGCATTATCGTTTAGTAGAAAGGAGATATTACTATGTAGATTTCTCAAAATCGTGGTCCTAAACACAGTACTTCGCCATCCTAAGCAGAGCAAGGCGGCCGTCCAACTTATAATGATACGAGAATTTCTCTGTTGCGGTCTCGGTGCCTTTTTAACATTGTTACTACAAGCTCCTAGCGATAATGTACAGCCTAGAGTTACCATTCGTAGGGCATTTTGTTTGATGCTAACTAGATCCACGCCAAACGTATAAATTTATTAAATTATAATTACAGACATAGTAACGAAGATAGTTCTTGAATCAATGCATACGCTGTGGTAGTTCAAATATTATAAAATGCAATATAAAGGTAATATAACAGTTGCATCACGTGAAGCTCCATATCGCAAAAAATATTAACCTTCTTTTGAGCCTCTTCTAATGCGACAGACCACGCTACGGTAGACTTGTTACGGGCAACGCTTCTCCGACCGAATTAGTGTAATCACGTGACATGTAAACTTTACAAGTCACGTGATCAGAATAAATGGAATTTTATCCAACTGTAGTAACAGAGTGAGCTATTAACTCTATATTCCCATGATGATTTGATGACTTTGACCCGTATATATATAATTATATAAACATTTCGTAATTAGTGCTCTGCTACTACTGCTGCTGCTGCTGCTGCTGCTGCTGCTGCTGTTACTGCTACTAGAGAGCTGTTCATCATTCATGAACTGCTAATCAAGGGGATGTGACGCTATGGGAATTTGGCCTAAGTAGTTCTGCCGTCGTAGTTTCAGTCTATCAATTAGAACGAAATGTCGTACAAAGTATCTTTACACTTCACGCGGTACACGTCACGTGGTTCCGTCGTAAAGTTTTGTTTTCTGCAAAAACTTTCAAACGATGTTATTAGCCAAGTTACAAGATTAGCATATAACAGAAATTGAATACAATATATGAAATATGATGTATTGGATATTTAAATTTCTCCGTTAAAGTTAAGCAGTATTATAAATATCTTATATAAATAAAAAAAATCAGAAGTTTCGTTTGTTAATCGAAGTCGGAATGCCCTGCCCATTGATGAAGTGGTCGTAAACACTGTGAGTTTTATATATTAAGCTGTCCATGCAAAGAGGCCCTAAGTATTTCCTTTGCTTCACTGAGTGAACTGCTGCTCTTTCGCAAAGTTGCTCTTCTACTATTACTAATCTTTGGCGAAGTTGAAATCCAC